GGCCGCTGCATCGAAAAGCAGAAGGAGTCACAATCTCTATCACTGTCAAGGTCCACATCGTCACCATCATCGTCACCGACGCCATTCAGAACATCGTACTTATCACCATCGTCATCACCCTCTTAATCATCTTCTTATTACAACCCCCTGAATTAAAAAGTCCAGACCGCAGAGGTCGGGGAAGAAGCTTTGATGTTCGGTTCCCGTTAGGCCATGGGGCCCTAGTACAATGTTGCAGAGGCCGCCATGGCAAAATTCCCGATGCATCCACACACCCTTCAAATTTATCATCGCCCAATGGGGTGATGACCGAAAATTCTCATTCCGCCCAATTTGTTCACAAAAAAATCCGGTCGCTTTTCAGACGACCTGAAACTTTCAGAGGCCACCAAATTTTGGCGATTCCGTTCAAGACTTCCTCACAACAAAAAAATCCGGCCCCATTTATGTTGCCTTAAAGCTGCGCTTCTGCTTGGGACTTTCTGCATGTCATGTTTACCTGCCTCGCCGTGGGCGATTCTAAACAGAACTTGTTGCTTCCACTGCTCAGCGCCTTGCGGTGCCTTTCCATTGTTCGGCGCGCGGGCCTGTCACGGGGTCATCTCAGAGGCCATGGTCCAAAATCAAAGGTCGAGGAACGATCGATAGTCGAAGCTCCCGGCCCCATCTGATAGCGACGATGCAAGGGGGTCCGCAGTGGCGATCCGGACTCTTTAATCCAGGGGGTGGTAGTACTGTTCCCATGCGAAAGCAGCCACTGGGGCCGTCGGTGGAATTCCTTATGGAGCCACGAAACGCGTGAGAGGTGTGCCGAAATAGGTGCGGCGGGCGCATGCGACCGCAGCCACTGGGGCCGTCGGTGGAGCTCCCTATGGGGCCGCGAAACGTGTGATGGGTGTGCCGAAGTGGGTGCGGTAGGCGCATGCGAACGCAGACACTGGCGCCTTCGGTGGTGGAGCTCCCTATCGGGCCACGAAACGCGTGAGGGGTGTGCCAGAATGTGCGTGGGCGACGCATGCAGGTGGTGGCACCAAGGCCTTCGTCGGAGCTCCCCATGGGGCCACGAAACGTGCATTCGGTGGAGCTCCGTATGAGGTCACGAGACGTGTGAGGGGTGTGCCGAAATGGGTATGGGTGACGCATGCGGGCGGTGGCACTGGGGCCTTCGGTGGAGCTCCCTATGGGGCCACGAAACGTGCGAGGGGTGTGCCGACATGGGTGTGGGTGACGCATGCGGGCGGTGGTATTGGGACCTTCGGGGGAGACCCCATATGGGGCTGCGAAATGCGCGAGGGATGTGCCGACATGGGTGTGGGTGACGCAAGCGGGCTGTGGCACTGGGGCCTCCGGTGGGACTCCCTATGGGGCCACGAAAGGTGTGATGGGTGTGCCGAAATGGGTGTGGACGACGCACGCGGGCGGTGGCACTGGGGCCTTCGGTGGAGCTCCGTATGGGACCACGAAACATGTGAGGGGTGTGCCGAAATGGGTGTGGGTGACGCATGCGGGCGGTGGCACTGGGGCCTTCAGTGGAGCTCCCTATGGGGCCACGAAACGCGCGAGGGGTGTGCCGACATGGGTGTTTGTGACGCATGCGGGCGGTGGCACTAGAGCCTTCGATGGGGCTCCCTATGGGGCCACGAAACGTGTGACGGGTGTGCCGACATGGGTGTGGGTGACGCATGCGGGCGGTGGCACTTGAGCCTTCGGTGGAGCTCCATATGGGGCCACGAAACGTGTAATGGGGTGCGCCTACATGGGTGTGGCTGACGCACGCGGGCGGTGGAGGGGGGGGCGAGGAGGAGTGAGTGACGCGGAGCGCTGTCTCTTCAAAACGAGGACCCAACACCACAGGATGGTTAGGAAAAATCGCAAGAGCGCGCGCAAGCTATTTTTGAAAATCAATGTTGCGAAACCCTGTGCTTTACATGTGTTTGGGATACTCAAGTTTGAAATCCTTACGAAACCCACGATGTTTGAAGGATTTCGGCATGCGCGCGCGTGCGCACTTCGCCCCATTAGTTGCAAGGGATTCCTGAAAGCTGATTATTTTTTTATTGTCGAATGCGCATGCATAGTATTTTGTGCAAAGGATGGCGGGGGGTGGATACTGGTTGGGCTGGGATGGTATGAATTCATGTTTGGAATGGGCGATGTGGCAGAATCATACGTAAATTGCAATACGAAAAGGGGGCGGATAATCCCGGGGTGGTAGAGTCTGTTCTCTTTTTAGAAAGGAAAATCTATGCTGTGCAATCGACGTGGTGCAATCTACGAAATTCAGTCTATACGGCGCCATATATATATATATATACATGTATGTGTGTGTGGTGCAACCTATGTTGTGCAATCTAGGCGGCGATGTGGCGGCGACGAGGCGGCGACGGGGCGGCGACGGCGGCGACATAGCCGCCAGATCGCCACACCGAACCAGACGACGGGCGACGACGAGGCGGCGACGGGAAGGAGATGGCGACCACATAGCTGCCAGAGCGGCACACTGGCCCAGACGACGGACGGCCACGAGGCGGCGACGGGGCGGCGACGGCGACCACATAGCGGCAAGACCAGCCACACGGCCCAGTTCCTTAGAGCACAAGTAAGCACCCCTAAGTGCAAGCACTGCTTGGGGAATAATCATACATACATGCCTGTATATCTGTACACATATACGTATACATATACATATACAGATACATAAACATAGTACATATATCTATACGTATACCTATACCTATGCCTATACCTATACATGTACATATACATATACATATACATATACATGTACATAAACATATAGATATACATATACATATGTATATACATATACAGAAACAGATACAGATACATGTACAGATACAGATACATACACATATACATATATAGACATATGCATATACATACGTATACATATACGTATACATATACATATACAAATACATATACATATACATATACGTATACATATACATATACATGCATATATATATATATATATATATATATATATATGTGTATACTTATACTTGTACATAAATATATATACACATATACGCATACATACATATATATATACATATAAGTACATATACATATACACATACCTATATATATGCACAGCTATACACATAAATAAACATATACATGTACATATACATCTACATATACATATGCATATACATATACCTATACGCATGCATGTACATATACGTATATATACATACACATGCATACGCATATACATGTATAGACCTACAAACATATAGACAAACAGATATGCATGCATGCACGCATACATACATATGTATATATACGTATATATATACACACTAAGTGGTTCCTCTATCGGTATGTGATCGGGTTAGGATGGCTATGTCACGTGGTCGTTTGTGGGTTTCAAGGTCAGAGCTTGAGGGCCTCTTGTGGACTGTTTGGGGGGTCTGCGGGGTGCCTCTTTGCAACCTCTTTGAGGCCTCTTGGGGGCCTCTTGGGGGTTGCTGGCGGTCTCGGGGGCCCCCTTGGGGCGGAGGGCTCGAAATCTCAACTCGAGTCCGCCCGATCGGGGACCCCTCTAAGGGCCCTCTGAAGGCCCTTTTCGGCCGTCTTGGACGCGTTTTGGGCCGTCTTGAGGTCCTCTTGGGGCGTCTCGGGGCTTGGGCCGTCTTGGGGTGATCCAGGGGGGCTCTTGGGCCGCATTGGACGCCGCGAAGGCCGAAAAGTCGTATCCTAAGGGAATGGGACGATGTCTGACTCGCGGAGCTCTCTTGGGAGGGCTCTCGGAAGCCTCGTGGGGCGTCTTGGAGGCTTCCTGAGCCGTCTGGAGGCCACATGGAACGTCTTGGACCGATCGCTTGGCGACTCGGGGCCCTCTTGGACCGTCTGAAAGGCCTCTCGGGGCCCTCTTGGCCCATCTTGGGGCCCTCTTGGGGCACTCTGGGGGCGGTTGGGGCCCTCCAAGAGCGCTCCCGACTCAGCCCGCCCGCTGGGCCAGGAATCAAGTCAGATCCGTGGTCTAAGAATCTTGGCACCCATGGTACTAATACAGCTTTATGTGTATAGATGTGTATGTATAGCACCACGCGTATTGGACCACCTTGGCCGCACCATATATATATATATATATATATGTATAGATGTGTGCATGTATATACATATATAACTATTAATATATGTAATTAATGTATGTATACAAATACATATATATATATACAAATATATAAACATACATACATACATACATACATACATACATACATACATACATGCATGCATACATACATACATACATACATACATACATACATACATACATACATACATACGTACATGCATACATACATACATACATACATACATACATACATACATACGTACATGCATACATACATGCATGCATGCATGCATGCATACAGACAGACAGACAGACAGACAGACAGACAGACAGACAGACCGACAGACAGACAGACATACATATATATATATACAACCGTATATATATATGTGTGTGCAACGTGCATTGCACCAGTAAAAGTACACCGCATTGATTGCACCACGTAGGTCCCACCGCATCATCACATCGTCACATTCAGATTGCACCACATTGACTTCATGTCGTAGATTGCCCCACACAGGCTGCACCACATAGATCGCACCACAAATATTGGATGCCATAGGGTGTACCCCACTGGATGCACCGTACACATCTAGCACCACAAAGGTTGCACATCGAGGATACGAGAGTCGACTGCTTGGGCCCACGCTGGCCAACATCCCGTGGTGACAGAAGCAATAGCGGAGACTGCAACAGCGGAGGCAGGGGCAGAGGCAGCAGCAGAGGCAGGGGACGGATCGAGACGACAGCGGGGAGCCCGTCGCTGCCCTCCGAAGCAGCGCCTGACTGCTGGAGAAAGTCCACCACCTCGAGATGGCCTGGCGCGAGACTGAGGCTGGCAGGCAGCCGCAAGCAGAGCCGGCTGGCACAAGGTGCCCACCTGAATCGTGACCAAGTCGAAAAAAAACTGCGAGAGGGGAGCGCACTGAACTTCCCGGCATCGTGTGCACATGATTGTCGAATCCATTGTGCTGCAGGGTCATCGATCGTGGCGAGCATGGCATGTCCACCAACAGAATGGGGCAACCGCAGGCAGGCAGCAGAAGAGGAAGAGCCACAGCGCACGTCGGCCAAGCGACCATGAGCCGCAACGCAAAGCAGCCAGAAGAACGATTGCCGATGCGATGCACTGCGATCGATACTCGACGGTTGACATGATCGACGCTGTCGGGCGGATTCGAACTAGGAAGGGCACGGCACTCAGCGTGATCCTCAGGGTCGGCTCTCAGGGGGGGAGGTCGCCATGAAAACTAGCCCCGAGAACGAATCGCCAGACGACATCCACCCTAAAGCGCGCCCCGCTGGAGCACAACACCGAAGACTAATCCACGGAAGGTTCGCCACCTGCGCGCGGAAGCTGGCACACAAGATAGTGCTCGAAACCTGCGCACCTGCAGAAGGACTCGCAGCTGTGACACCGAGCATGAAGAGCGCAGGAGACTTTAGACAACGAAAGCCACATCATTTCAATCGTCGCAGCCTGCATCGCCAAAGCCCATACTATCGCATACGAAGACGAGATCGGGGACGCGAGGGCGCAACGCAGCATCAGTGATGTGTATTCAACTTGCTATGATGCCTTTTTCGCCTCCCGCCTGATGTTCTCTTCAATCCACCCGCACCCCACACCTCCTGACCCCCTACCCCTCTTCGTGTTCAAAAGGATGGGCGGGGGGGAGACGGAGGAGAAGGAGAAGGAGGAGGAGAAAGAGGACTCGAGGACTTGAGATGGAAGGGCAACGCGGTCGACTTCGCCGCCGCGACCCCCCCGCCCGCAGGCTGCGCAGGCTGCCGTGAGGTCGCGAGCCCACCCAAGAGACAGGGCGGGGTTCCCCTTCACTGTCGCTCTAGGGCACAACATATCTGCGGGGCCGAAGCCCCGAACCGCGAAAGCAACCACGGCCTCGTCGTCCAGCTGCATGGCAGCGCCCGCGCCCCGCAGCTTGAAGAAAGACTTGCAACCAGCAGTGGCGGAGCGAGACGGGGGCACGCCGAAATCCCAAGGAACCGAGCTGTCCTGTTTGTTGTCCACCAGCACGGCCGAAATTAATCCACGATCATTCCAAAATCGACAACGCCCGCACCACGGACAACCTAATTATAGACCACAGCTTGCAAAACTGTACGTGATATAATGTCCCTTGGATTGAATTGACCACTAAACTAAGTAAACGTGCGCGCGGCAACCTGAATCAAAATCTACCGAATCCAATCCGAAGCAAGGGAACCATACTTGAAGCAAATATTCGAACTGCTGGCCCCGTCCACAGAAAGTTGGCCCTCCATGCACATTGAAAAGGAAAGAAAGCAAAACAAATCCTCCAAACCCCAAGCAAAACAAATTCCATACACTCCCCAGGCGGTCGTGGGAAATTATAAGACAATACCTGATGATGCCAGCCCCCAGCCTGACTACTCACCTGGCCGGCGCGTTGAGCTGGAGAGACGAAACATCCCGCTCCATCTCCCTGACATGCCCAACCAAATACACTCCCCATGCGGCTGTGGGAGATTTTAGCACCCTAGTTGATGGCACCAGGTTCCACCACCGTGCCTTCTAGTGTAGGCCCCGGGTTCAACACCACTTGATGAAGAACGGCGTAGCGATCCCGACAGCTGCACTCCGATGCCAGTCATGGCAAAAAGGTACACGATGAACACCAGCGGTTTTAGCATGTCCCCTGACACCCCCATCAAAGTGAGAACCCTGGTCCGATGCAGCCTAATCGACAGCAGCCAGGCCCGTGCGCGCGCTGGCGTGGTCCAAACTCCCATTGCCTATTGAGCCAGAACGGGCGAGGAAGGCTGACTTGGGCCTAGAACTTGAAAGGAGAAAACGGAGGAGGAGGGGGAGGAGAAGGAGCAGGAGGAAGAGGAGGAAGAGGACGGGGACGAAGAGGAGGGGGAAAAGGAGGAGGAGGAGACGGAGGAGGAGGAGGAGGAGGGAGGAGAAGGAGGAGGAGGAGGAGGAGGAGGAGGAGGAGAGGGAGGAGGACAGGAACAACGGGGAGGATAGGAGAAGGAAGGGGAGGAAGACAGGAGAACGGAGGAGGGAGGAGAAGGAGGGATGAGCGGACGAAGGAAATGGAGCAGAAGGAGTGGGAGAAAAAGGAGGGGGAGGAAGGAGGAGGACGTGAAGGAGGTGGAAAAGGTGGATGGCGAGGAGGAGGAGGAGGAGGAGGAGGAGGAGGAAGAGGAGGAAGAGGAGGAGGAGGAGGAGGAGGAGGAGGAGAGGAGGAGGAGGCTTCGTCAGTATGACTACGCAGCCACCAGGAACCAGGAAATAGGAGGAAGAGAAGAAGAAGGAAGAAGGAGGAGGAGGAGGAGGCAAAGGAGGAGGAGGAGGAGGAGGAGGAGGAGGAGGAGGAGGAGGGTAGGAGGAGGGGAGGAGGGGGAGAGAGCGGTGCCCCCTGCCGACGGTGGGCGCACGATGCTCCCCACCCCCTCCCACGCGGGCCGACGGCTCGAGAAGCTCTCGCCGCGCTCCCAACCCGCCCGTGGAAGCGCCGCCGCCGGCGCGGGCGACCAGGGAAGCGCGCTGCGCCGCAGACCCCTCTCGCGGGGAGCGCTCCGACCAGGGTCTCGGCACGACTCCAGCCGTGTCGACGAAGGAGGGGCAACGGTGGGAGGGGCAACGGTACGGTACGAAGCACGAAGCACAAAGCACGCCCACACATGGGCACCGTCTAGGGTGCTGCGGGTGCGGCGCCGGAGCGCCGGAGCGTCAGGAAGCGAGGCCTGATCAGATGTTGGCCGTGACGCTGGAGATCGTGCCCTTGAGGCTGGAAGTCGAAAGCTGGAGGTAGAAGCCTGGATGGTGGTAGCTGGCGGTGGGGGGAGCAACGGTGGCGTTACCACTTCCTCCTCCGAGAGAAGACCCCCACCGCACGGGGGGGGGGGCGGCGGCGAAGAGCCGCACGAGGAGGCCAAAGAGCTGTCAGGCCGTGACTGCGCGGCTCCCTACCCAGATTTGCCTGGAAAGTTCTTCCTTCTGTCTGCCTCAGCACCTCCCGCAGTGCAAGTGCCGTGGGACGGCGCCCCTCCCCGTGAAACTCCCGTGGGTTTCCCGAGCGTGCCCGCCCGCTTGCGGCGCAGCTCCCAGCGCTGCAACATTGCATGGAACCCCCCGTGCAAGCACAAAGAGCCCCCCCCTTTCAGATCTTTCCCCGCTGGAACATGTCGCATGTCGCACTTCGCTTTGACGCCGCTGAACCACTGATCCCAGCCTTCCATCCGCACCCTTGGCGCCACCCCCCATCGGGGCGCGCGGCCAACCAGGCCGTCATTTTTCCCTATATGAACAAATCCTTTGAACGATGATGAGCGACCCCAACCTCAATGACTGCATATAACCACAGCGCGACTGTGCCGCAGCGTGCGCCGAGCCTGGGCGGGCTCTCATACGATCGGCTGCCCTTCCCCGCGGCCAGGGGCCTGCCGGCTGGAGCCCGACACCGGAGCGGGGGGCACCTCACCTGGCGCAAGGGCTCTGTGGCAACTCGTGGGAACCTCCCATACCCTCTTGCTGGCTCGCGCGAATCGACGCTAATCGACGCTGGCCGACGCGGAATCGACGCTACGCGACGCTCATCGGCGACAAATCGGCGCTATGCCATCGATTTCCACACGCTTACCGACGCTGGTCGACGCTAGAGACGGAACGAAGAAGGTGCACAGAGCTCACAAGAGCTGCTGCCGAAGAAGGGATCGCCCAGCAGTCCGCCCAGGACGAGGCGGGCGGAGCGGGGCCCCGTCCGACGAACGGCCGCCAGGCGAGCCCCCGAGCGCCCCCCGCCCTGGGGAACGACGGGGCAAACGCGCCGCGCACGACGGGGCCAGTGTTCCCAGGCCGCGGGCAGCCTGGACCCGCCCCGAGCAGGCCCCGATTCCCCCAGGCAGCCGCTCGGGGCTCCCACTGGCAGGGACCTCTCAAGCTCTCGTCAAGCCTGCGCTCGTGGGCGTGGCGCGGGGGGGCTCCCTGGCCACTTGCAGATTCGGTGCTCGCGCTGTCGGTGCTCTGCTCTCCTAGGGCTCTGCATCGTCGTCCGCACCTTACTTCTGCATGTCGGAGCTCCGCAGCTGCCTGCACACCCCCTCTGCCGCGTGGCCAGCGTCCTCCCCCCCACGACGGCGGCGCTCCATCGGCCCCCCAGCTCACGCGGCAGAGCGGCCTCTCGGCGCCGAGCCCCGACGAGGCGCACGGACCTCTCGCCGGGGCGCAGGGCCTCGAGGCAGAGCCTCGTCGTCGTCCTCCCCTCGTCGCGGTGGTCCGTTCCCCCCCCCCGTCGTTCTCGTCCTCGCCCCCCTCGTTCTCCTCATCGTCGTTTGCCGTGGCACAGGCGACACAACTACAACGAGCTGCCTCTATCAATAGCCAGGGCTCTCCCACGGCCACTCTTTACTCTGTCCGGCCCTAGGGAGGATGTCGAATTCTAGGTTCGAGCCTCGGCAGGTTCAGCCACCATCCTCCTCGTCCTCCTGCCTAGAGAGGGAACTCGCCTCCATTTCCTCCTCCTTTTCCTTCCTCCTCCTTCTCCTCCTCCTCCTCCTCCTTCTCCTCCTCCCCCTCCTCCTCTTCATCCTCCTCCTCCTCATCCATTCCTTGTCCTTCACACACCTTCGCCCTGTCGCACCCCGCGGCGGGCGTTTCGCCCGAGATTTCCTCACCACTTATGATCCTGAAGGTTTCAAAAAGTGACAAAACCTGCACAGGTGGAGGGCTGGTCGCTTTCAAAGTGTGGCTCTCGCCGCAGCGCCGCGCACACTCGCCTTCAAAGCTTGCAAGAGCTTCACGGATTGAGGGCGGATGGTTTCCACAATGTGGCTCTCGCCGTAGCGCCGCGCACATCCGTCTTGAATAATCGCAAGAGGTTTACGGACTGAGGGCGGCTCCTTTTCAACATGTGGCTCTCGCATCAATGCAGCGCACATTCGTTACCAAAATTTGCAAGAGCTTCACGGATTGAGGGCAGGTGGTTCTGAACATATGGCTCACGCAATAGCGACACGAACAGTCGTCTTCAGAGTATGCAAGAGCTTCAAGGATTAAGGGCGGGTCGTTTTCAAAATGTGGTTATCGCCTTAACGCCGCGCGCATTCGTCTGCAAAATTGCAAGAACTTCATGGATTGAGGGCGGCTACTTTTCAAACCGTGGTTCTCGATTTAGCACCGCGCATGTTCGTTATCGAAGTTCCGCAAGTTCCACTGATTTGCCATGGCTAACGTACCAGAAATGGCGTTCTGGGACGACTCAGGATTACCAGGGCACAACTGTTACGCTGATTCGCGGTGTTGGAGTCCCAGGAATGGTGTTCTGGCACGATTACGGATCGTCAAGACGCAACAGTCAAGTTGATTCGCGGCGTTGAAATCACGAGAATTGTGTTGCGGTACGCGTCAGGATCTTGAAACGGTTGTCTCACAACGGGGAACTTCCCTCAATGGACATGAAGCCTTGTAGGGGCCTATGAAAACGGAGATTGGAGGCAGGGTTTATCGCAACATCGTCGACCAGTCTTGGGTTTACGCCGGTCCCTCCTCATCATCATCATCATCATCATCATCATCATCATCATCATCATCATCATCAGCACCACCGCAACCACCATCATCACCATCATCACCATCATCACCATCATCACCATCATCAGCATCGTCATGCTCATCATCAGCAGCAGTTTCATCATATCATCATCATCATCATCATCATCATCATCATCATCATCATCATCATCATCATCATCATCATCATCATCATCATCATCATCATCATCATCATCATCATCATCGTCATCGTCATCAACATCAGCATCAGCATCAGCATCAGCACCACCATCATCGCCATCATCCCAATCCCCATCTCCTCCTTTCCTTCCTCCCGCTCCTCCTCCTCATGCTCCTTCTCCTCCTGTTGTTACTTCTTCTCTTCCCCGTCCTTGCGTAGAGGAGCACGCAAGTCAAAGGCCGCGTCAGCCTTGTGAAGCTGCTATGAGCAGGGAGGTCATGCCGGCCTCTGGACGCACAGGGCGTGGCGTCGCGCCCCCACACCCCTCGTCTTCGTCTTTCTCCGATCGAAACATATCCAGTATCAAACACACAACAGCAAGAGGAGACCGCGAGAAGTCAAAAGCGATAGAACGATAGAGGGCGGCGGGGAAGCGGATCTTACATGCTATATGACATGTACACGTATATATGGGTATAGATATCTCTCTCTCTCTTTCTCTCCCCCCGGATCTCTCGAGCTGCCGCCAGAACCATCGGCGTCTACAGACCCTGCCACGCCCCTGCAGCCGACTCGAACTCCATCTCGTGCTTTCATCCCCTGCCATCCAGGTCGGCCCAAGAGGCCAAACTCGTCAAAACCCATGGGTTATGTATGGGTTTAGCATTACCGCTTTTCCGTCTTCACAGCGCCCAAGACGGCCCAAGAGACGCCCAAGATCGCCAAAAAACTGCCCGTATATCCCCAAAAGAAAGGCTCATGACGGCTCCCAAAACAGCCCCAGGAGGGGCCCAAGGAGGGGAACACGAACTGAAATTTCGAGCCCTCTGCCCCAAGATGAAACCAAGACCCCCCTGGAAGTTCCGAGAGGCCCACAGAAGCCCCCGAGACGCCCCAAGGCGACCTCATAACCGCCTCCAAGAGGCTCCCGAAAGGCCTCCCAAGAGATCCTCACAGGCATCAACAGGCCTCTGACCGACAACACAAGCACGGTAGCGGGATGGGCCAAACGCCACTAGATATCCGCCGCCCCCTGTGGCTTGCCACAGGGGTGCCCAGCGTGCTGAATCCTATCGCTCTTGGTTTGGTTTCTTTTTCCAAAAGCACTCTCCCCTGGGGCTCCGGCCCGTCCCGCTGGCCACCCGATAGGCCCCCAATTCTCACAGAAAAATTCCCAAGACGGCGGCTCAAAATGGATTTCAAGACCGCCAAGATGGCCCAAGCTGGCCTCCAAGATGCCTCCAAGATAGTCAAAATGGCCTCCAAGACGGCCCAAAAGGGTCCAAGATACTTCCAAGTCCGCCCAAGAAACCTCCAAGACGGCCCAAGACGGCCCAAGAGGTGCCCAAGAGGCCTCCAAGACGGCCCCAGAGGCCTCCGACAGGTCTTCCAGGAGGGCCGAAGAGGCTAAAATCACTGATTTGCCTCAGGTTGTTGAAGGAATTTGGCAGTTGTTTCTTTTCGGCCTTCCGACGGCCCGAGACGGCCCAAGAGCCCCCAAAGATCGCCCCAAGATCGCCCAAGAGGCCTCCAAGATGGCTCCAGAACGGCCCAAGAGGCCCCCAAGACGACCCCAAGAGGGCCCCAAGACGACCCAAGAGGCCTCTAAGACGCCCAAGAAAGCCTCCAAGACGGCCCTGAAGCATTCCAAGGGGCCACAAGTCGGCCCAGAGAGGCCCCCAAGACGGCTTCCGACGGCGTCTGACGGGCCAGGAGCCCACCACAACGGCCGAAGATGGCTCTAAGATGACCCAAGACGGCCCAAGAAGCCTCCAAGAGGGCCTCCAGGAAGGCCCGACGAAGCCAAAATCATTGGTTCGCCATAGATTGTTGAAGGATTTCGGTATTTGCTTATTTTCGGCCTACCGACGGCCCGAGACGGCCCGAGGCGGCCCAAGAGCCCTCAAAGATCGCCCCAAGATCGCCCAAGAGGCCCCCAGGATGGCCCCAGAACGGCCCAAGAGGCCCCCAAGACGGCCCCAAGAGGGCCCAAAGACGGCTCAAGCGGCCTCCAAGACGCCCAAGATGGCCTCCAAGACGGCCCTGGAGCACCCCAAGAGGGCCCCAAGTCGGCCCAGAGAGGCCCCCAAGGCGGCTTCCCACCTCGTCAGACGGGCAAGGAGTCCACCAAGACGGCAAAAGAGGCACCCGAGAAGCCCCCAAAGCCCCTTAAGAGGCCCAAGGAGGCCCCCAAGATGCCTCCAAGAGGCTCCCAGGAAGCTTCCTGGAGGCCCCAAAAGTGTCGCCTGAGGCTCCCAAGATGCCCGCTCCTCTTCCTCCTCCTCCTCCTCCTCCTCCCCCTCCTCCTCCTCCTCTTCCTCCTCCTCCTCCTCCTCCTCCTCCTCCTCGCCCTCCTCCTCCTCCTCGTCCTCCTCCTCCTCCTCCACCTCCTCCTGATCTTCCCCGCCATCCTCGCCCAAGTGTTCCCCGAAGGGTTTCCACAACGGTTGGGGGAACACATGGTCCGATAGCTTGGCAGAGCTCTTGCCACAACGCTCGACCACATGGGCGATTCTAGAAGGCAGGGGGCGGCGGTGATTCGCCGTAGGCGTCTTCGATATTGATCAAGAAGAAATGCGTAAAATGCATTGCGGGTTTAGGGGGCGAGGGGGGGCGGCCCCCTGGGCGCCAAAGCGGCCCCACAGCGACCCCGAGAGGCCCCCAGGCGGCCAAAGACGGCCCCAAAAACTACTCAAATGGTCCCAGGAGGCCCAACAGAAATCACCTTCAGCCCCGAAGAGGCCCCCTAACGGCAGACCGCTCCAAAAATCAGCCCTGGCGCCCGACAAGCCTCCAAAACGCCTCCAGAGAACGGAGAGAAGGCACCCAGGAGGGTTCCATCGAGCAAAAAACGCCGCATTCCTTTAATTAGGGAGAATGACGTTTTCAACCGGTTCGCTGCTTTGATCTTCGAACGTACGAAACGGCCCCAGAGGTCTCCATGGTCGCACCATGAGGGACCCAAGATAGCTCCAGACGGCCCCTGAACGGCCCAAGAGGCGCCCAAGACTGCCCAGGCGAACCCTAAGAGGGGCCCACAAGGGGCCCAAGAGGGGCCCGGGACAGCCCAAAACGGCCCCAAGGCGGCCCAAGAGGCGTCCAAGATGGCCCAAGACGGCCCCAAGATGGCCCAAGAGGCGCCGCACACGACCCAAGGGGGCCCCGAGAGGCCCCCAAGAGACCCAAAAGAGCACCTGAGCCCGAGGTGTCCCAAACGGCCCCCTAGAAGCCTCAAAATTGCCCCCAGGAGAGCGGGGCGGACAAGGGGCGAGACGCCCTTCGCGGCAGCAAAAGAAGCAGTTGTTGACGCCCCAGTGGCCATGGATGCCTGTCTTCTGGGCGACGACGACGACGACGACAACCACGACGACGACGACGACGACGACGACGACGACGACCGCGACGACGACCACGACCACGACCATGACGACGACGACGACGACGACGACGACGACGACGACGACGACGACGACGACGACGACGAAGACCACCACGACTACGACTACGACCACGACCACGACCACGACCACGACCACGACCACGACCACGACCACGACCACGACCACGACCACGACCACGACCACGACCACGACCACGACCACGTTAAAGACGACGACGACGACGACGACAACCACGACGACGAAGACGACGACAACCACGACCACGACCACCACGACCACGACCACCACCATGACCACGACCACGACCACCACCACAACCACGACCACGACCACGTTAACGATGACGACACGACGACGACGACGACGACGACGAAGACGACGACGAGAACGACCACGACGACCAAGACCACGACCACGACAACGTTAACGACGACGACGACGACGACGACGACGACGACAGACCACGACTACCACGACCACGACCACCACCACGACCACGACCACGACCACGACCACCACCACGACCACGACCACGACCACGTTAACGATGACGACACGACGACGACGACGACGACGACGACGACGAAGACGACGACGACCACGACCACGACCACCACGACCACGACCACGACCGCGTTAACGACCACGACCGCGACCACGACCACGTTAACGACGACGATGACGACGACGACGACGACGATGACGCCTTGTCGCCCCGCGGAATCGGCGGCGAGTTAGAGTGGCGATGTTTACAACATGTGCAGCGACATCTCGGTTCGGAACGCCGCGTTCTGGACATTCCCAAACCGTTGCCCCGCTGCGAACCTGACTTTACCGCGACGCCGCTCCGACGCATCCGACGCGGCCCGCGACGGCGCCGCTGTTGCCCCGACCTACTAACCGCGTCCAGCGCGCTCCAAGCGTCAATCCTCCGACGCTTCTCCGGCCTGGACTGTGGAGCTTCTTGCTGTCGCGAAGCTCGTCAGTGGGCGCTCTCGGCGGGGGAGCCGCGCGAGAGCAGGCGCCAGGGACACTACGGCAGAGGCTGGCAGCCTGGCACAATCCACCGCGCCGTCGAACCTCGATCCGCTCATCTCCGTGGACTTCGTCCACGGGTCCACACTAGTACATACACACGTATATGTGTGTGAAACGAATACCAGCTGACTGTGTATAAATATATACACATACATACATTTATACATATACATATAGATACATATGTGTATGTGTATGTATGTGTACATATATGTATATGTGTATAACAATGTTATGCGTATATAAATATACATGCTTACATACATACATACATACATACATACATACATACATACGTACGTACGTACGTACGTACATACATACATACAAACATACATACATACATACATAGATGCATACACGTATGTATGTATATATGTATCTATATGTATGTGCCCGGAAGCGGATCGGTTCGCTGCTGGAACTAGAATGGGTCGCGCGGCCCCGTCTCCGGTTGTCTCCAATGGTCTCCCGTTGTCTCAGGCGGCCTCCCGCGGTCTCCCGCAGCCTCCCTCTTGCACTCCGCTGCCTCCCGTTTGCCTCCCACTGCCGTCCCTGCCCCTCTGCTGCCCCTAGCCCTGTCCCTATGCCTACCCCTTCTGCCCCTGCCCCAGTCCCAGATCCCTATCCCCATCCCCATCCCTCTCCCGAGATCCCTGTCCCGACATCCCGAGCCATGTATTATCCCTGTCTCGAACCCTTACCCCGATCCCGATCCCGATTCTGTCCCGATCCCCCCATCGTGGCCCCCCATCACGGCCCCTCATCGTGACCCCCCGTCGTGGCCCCCATCGTAACTGCGCAACGCTCTTTAGGATCTTCTGTCGTCGCAAGGGTGTCCTTCTTCTTCGTTTGGCATGGACGCCGTCCGCCATGCAGAAGGCCTCAACCTGCGATCGGAACCCAGGGTTTGGGATCCTGGATAAACAATGCCGACGAACCAAGGGCTAAGGAAATCCCACCAGCCCTCTGGGCGCAGGTGGTCTGGAGCGCTTCCTCTTCCAACCCCCTTCTTCCCCTTCGGGGAGGGGTTTACGCCTCCCCATACCCCCTCCCCTGGACCTGGACGAGGCGCCCCGCGGGTATTTTCTGTTTCTGGATGGGCTGGTGAAGATCCGCGAAGCGTCAAGAATTCATCGCCGTCCATCCCGTGGGGGCACCAAGCAGTAGACAAACGTCCACAAACAGCTGACAATGAGCGGGGGTCATCATGCACGTGGCGAGACAGACGCAAGAAGAGTCGGCCAGCGAGAAGGAGATGGAGATGGCGATGTTTACCCCCGGGGAGCCTTCCGACCGGGGATCGCGGATGCGACGTGCTGAGGACTTCTCTTCCCTCGAGCCTCCCGAGATCGAGCGCGCTCGGCGGCCACGGTGAGTCTCACCCGCGGCGAGTCTGTAAAATCTCCTCCGACACTTCCGAGCTCTCCATCGGCGGCCTGCCCGACGTCTTCGCTGCTGTCGAGCCTTTCCGCCCAGACGCCCGCCGTGCAGAGCGCCCTCGTGCTCCTCGTCCGCGGGCCGGCCCTCGAGCCTCGAGCCTCGCTCCTGAAGAGCCTCAACCGGCGATCCTGAAGCATCGAGCCTCGATCCTCGAGGTCCTCGATCTTCGACCAGAGACCATCAGTCCTCGAGATCCTCGATGCTCAAGCCTGGGTCATCGGCCCTCCCCGATCCTCCCCAATCCGCGATCCTCGAGGTCCTCGAGAGCCTCGAGACTCCTGTTATATCCTCTGGCGCGCAGCGGTCTTTACCCGGGCCAAGCGCCCCCCTCCCCGCCCCAGGTACGGGTAACGACCGTGAGTTTGGGAGGGGGCTGGACCCAAAAAACCATGCGCATACGGTGGCGATCGCAGCGTCCCCCCGCCCCGACGTGTCCCATCCCGCCCAAGCGTTACTGTTACCCAAGGCCCCACCCACCCCAGTAACGACCGTCACGCGGCAAGCATAGAACAACAACAACTAGAATCACTCGATCCTCGAGATCCTCCTCCGTCCTCGACCCTTCTCCGATCCCTCCCCGGGCCGGCCGTGTTCTGCGCGTCCAGGTCCACGCCCTGCTCGCACAGGTGGCGCACGACGCCCATGTGGCCGTGGAGGGCCGCGGCGTGCAGCGGCACCAGGCTGCCGATCTTGGCCCTGTTCCCGTCGGCGCCTCCCCGGGAGGCGGAGGGCGAGGAGGCGAAGGGGAGGAGGGAGGCGACGGGAGGGCGCGGGGAGGGCGA